CTTGCATTCCGTGCGAGGCAATATTTTTCGAGGCAATTATTTCAGATTGACTGCGTTAAAAGACACTTTTGTTTAATATTATTTATACTCTCTTCTTTCCCTCGCTTCGCGAAAGGGATACATGAGCGGAACGAGAAATGACAGTAGAGAATAGCGCGCGTTGCGCAGTTCCATTATAATTTGCCGTAATTGTCGCACGTGAATTAGTGCAATTACGAGGGGTGTACGGACGTGAGCATCGTAGATGTCTCGTCGTAAGAAATGTCGGAACACGCGGATCGATACTGCACGAGAGCGTATAAAACCTTTTGTCTCACACTAATAAACGGGCGACACGTAATACATTCTCATAAACGTCACGTTGCGGATTAATCACGTCTCTATTTGATGTTTACATTGCAAGTGATATACGTCGCGTAAGTACAGTCATTCGCTACCTCACGACTCGTCGGGTGTACGGCAATTATGGAGACGCTGGGCTTATCTTCCATTAAAAATCGTCCCCCAACAGAGAGTTTAATCTCAAATTATTAAATTGCCAAGTTGGGAATTAATTACTTCAAGTTGATAAGAAAGACCCAGCTACTTTTGCGCAAGAGGAGAATATCGCGGGCGGGATTAAAAAGATCTCCACCTTAGGTACTCGGGTTTATATATATATATATATATGTATTGTATATATATCGTTATACACCGCAGTGTACACTTAAGCCCGTATATCGCGTTATTATTCCGCTGCTCGTTCTCGGCGCAGTGATAAAATTCTAATAGCGCGGTTATATATACGTAGCCCGGATTCTGTATGTATTTCCTCTCGCCGGCAGAGAGATCGTCCTACACACGCGGCCTCCCCCCATTTATTTCTCGTCGGTCGGAGCATGGAGCTTCCCACCTTATCGCAAAAATCAGTAATTAAGTTACGTTTCCCCCGGTACCCTCGAAGAACGAACGCGCGATGGAAATGATTTCGAAACGGCAGCGGCCAACCCCTTTTTAGCTCGCGGCTCACAGCCGCTCGCCTTCGTGGCGAGAACGCGCGGCATCTCTTATTAAATCTCGGCGCGAAATTATTATTAAGCGTGCACTATCCGTAGGATCCGCCGTACGATCCCCTCTTCCAGGCGCACGTTGCACAGATTTTACTCGCGGACTACGAACGTAGTTTCTAGGCTGTACGCGCTTCTTCGCGCGCGATTCGCTCTCCGCGAGTCTCTCACCGCGCGAGATTTATTAATTTCCGGATTATCCCGCCCGCGATTTCCCGTCTCCCCGTCGTGCAAATGTGATTTCAATTAATCAATAACGAATACAATTTCCTCCGAGGCCGAGATAAATGCGATCGGTATTGAATTATAAATTCAGAGAACGCAAAGCAGCGGGACGAACGTTTTCGTCCAGGCGTAGCCTTTTACCGCTCCGCTCTCGCCGTTCAATTACAGTCGCGCGGCGATAGCTATGCAAAAAGGCCCGTTTTACTCGCGTTATCTTTGGTCCTGCATTTACAAAGAAAAAGAGCGATCAAAGCGAAATTTATAGTACGAAGCGTTTTAACGACGTTTTTACGCCGCTCCGCTTTGGAAAGATAAATTACGGAGCCGGCGCTCGCGACTCGTGCCCGTTTTTATCGATATTCCGATATTCCATGGAATATCGGATGTATTACCATTCCGAAACGTAACAACGAAAATATGATATAAACTGTCATTATTGTTATGTGAAATTATTATTTCGTACAAAGGAAATCTCACGTCTCACATTTCGTTGGGCGCGCGATAATCATTTTTACACGTTTTCACGAGAGTACTTTCCATATACACACACACACACACATATATATATATATATACGAAGGAAAGTGTCAACCATTCTTATTTCCGGTCCCTCGTGCGATAGGTTTTTCACGGCGATACGAATGGGACGGAAGTTAGTGTTACATACCGCACAGTTTGCGAACTATCTGCAAACTCTATTCCGACGTGATCGTCCTCACGTGGAATTCCCTAGCGTATCTCGAGATATTGATTTTGCGACACGATTTGCCGGAGGATACCCACAGCGCCGCACACTCCGGGAAATAAATCCGCGAATGGAATCTAGGTGGAGGAAACATGAGAAATCGCATTTGCTAGATTCTATGAGACTTATCTGCCATCTTGTCGATTATTGAAAATCGGCTAACTCATTCGTCACGCTGGCATGCAAACGCCATCCTCGAACGAGAGGGAGATAGCGCGAGGAGAGAAGCGAGGACGGAAGAGGAAGGGAGGACAAAGTGAAATAGACTAATCGGAGATTCGACGACGGGGGAATAAAAAAGAAAACCGCAAACTCCGTGGAATCGGCAGCTCGCATGAATAATCATCAAGAGACTCGCCATTAAGTGGAAAACATTCCCCATCGTTCGCCATCGCCTTATGCTTCCCTATTGATTTTCGCTGATATACTCTGCTATTAGCTCGCACCGTCGCTTCGTGCTAACTAAAACGATTATACGCTCGTCAGAGGACATTTGAAACATTTTCGCACTTTATAAAGATGTCAACGGTACTAGAAAAAAATTTCTAGTTTGTGCAAAATGTAATTTTTTTCTTAAATAAGAAAAAGAATCTTGAACTCGCGTCTCTCAATCGCATTGAAAGAAATGTTCTGGTTAAATAAAAAAAGAAAAGAAAAGAAAAAAAACCACCCAACAAGAATGTCATTTCGTTGATGTATCAGAATATTTTTTTTTTCAGTACAATTGAGGCAAGTTTTTAAGATCTTTTTATTTTTTTATTACACACCAAAATGCCATTTCTCTTGAGTGCTTTTGTTGGTTTAAACATCAAAAGTATTTTTTCAATGTATGATTAAAACACATGAGTTTTAAGATTTTTTCTTGCTTAAGAAAAGTTAAACTTTCCACAGAAATTTTCAAACAGAATTTCTGTTTACCAGATATAATCAGAAATCCTGTTTGATCTCGACAAAATACATTCTTGTCTTTTGTTGATTTAACATTTTTCTCGGTGTATCGATAAGAATATTTTCTTTGTCGAGCATTAGTTTTTTTTTTATTTTTTTTATACAAATACGTGCGTCTTAAATCTCACGGAACAACTCGGAACTCCGTGCGAGCGTTGGTTGAATAGGCGTGCAAAATTTTGTTGGATAGAACCAGTTCATCGTAAATCACGAAAGGCGTGAACGGAACGACTTTCGGTATAACTCATGCGATTGTGCAATATCGAAAAGTCCTCAAGTGTCGTTGGATATCTAATGTCGTCTTAAATACACACTGTCGCGAGCTGCGAGCAATGACAGCCTCGAAGTCTAAACTACCGAAGGAATATCAGATCCCGCCGTCAGATGCGTATAAATAAATAATGAGAAGGATACACCTTCGAGACGTCCGCCTAAGAGGTCTATTTTTAATGGAGAAAATGCTTGACAATGATTTAGATAGAGTCATTTTACGGCGGCCTGATCTAACGACTACTTATCTGACGCCTGGCTCTATATTTTCTGCCTCAAGGTTATTCGAGCGTATTACAGCAGCCGTCGCGTACGCGCAAGTGTAATATATTCATAGCCTGTAATGAGACTATAATTAAGCTGTACCATGGAATTATATAATTAAATTTAATGAGTGATTTAATTTATCAGCGTTCGTGCATATTGATTAATCATCGTAATCTGCAAAAAGATGGTAAAAGATGTAAGAGAAAGATTTAATGCAGAGCATCTCGCTCGACTTTAATGAAAACGGGACAATTGTAGGGTGAGCTTTTTAAAAAAAGAGGTGAAAGCTTCGGGAGTTCTCTAAAGGAAATTCGCCGGTATTAAGGTCGACGTCCATATTGATGAAGGTCCTCGAACAATAACGACCGTCGATCGTTAAATACGTACGAGCGTAATAAAGCGACCGTCTGATACGCGTAAACCCGGATTATCGCGCGTTTATTCCCACGTCTCTCTAGCGAACAATAACGATCGTCGATCGCTAAATCCCAACACACGAGTCATCTCTTTGCGATCATCGCCAAACGATCAATGCATAAAATGTAGGTAATAATTTCAACCACTAAAATGTATCTAAATGGCTCGCACTTCCGTGTATTTAATAGGCTCTAAGCCATAGATATCTTTTCGTTATTCGATCCAATGAACTTGACGCGATAACCAAGATGACAGCTCTAACAGAAGCAACGTCTCTTAAACCACTCGGTTATTGCCTAAATGACTTGTGTGTGTGTGTGTGTGTGTGTGTGTGTGTGTGTTTGAGTCGGTAAGATAATACAAATGATTGACGGTCCACTCCCGTCCCCAAAGGGCAGCTAACGTGATCAGCAGACTGGAAGAGAAAGGGCGGGAAAGCGTGCTATCAGCAAAAAGAAAGTTTCGTGACGAAAATATTAGTCATATACTTTCTCATCGAAGTGATTTAGAAAGATTCTTGGAATAACTCTCTTTCTCCAAAGAGAAAGATAATTATTTCAAGAGTCGTTTGATTCTAGCATATTTTAAAAAGAATTTAAAATGAAATATACGTATACGAGTAAAGTAGTACGACTGGAAAATAATTACGCGGGTCAAAATAAAAAATTGAAGTAAATAGATTGCAACGCAATTTAACGGTATCATGTCTTATTTCAAGATTTTTGAACAATCTATTGACTGAAGAACTTGTTTCTTCTCATCTTAATATTTCGAAATAACATGCCAATACTGACTTATCGGAACCAGACACATCGCCTCTGTTACAATAAGTATTATTTGAATAGTTATTCGTTAAGGAGATTATGATATTATTCTTATCACTAAAGAAGGCTTTGTAAGTCAAAACGTTTGTATATTGAATTAATTGTATTCCTTATAAATATATTATTTCTAAGTCACCTGTTTAAAAATCTCGAAATAAGCCACGATACTGTTAAATTGCAAAATAGAAAAAAAAAAACCAAATTCGATGGCTGCCTTAGTTATCTGTGATATTGATCGTCATTTGCATTTTGTTGCAGGTAACAACGATACCCGACGAGGGCGAGGACAATTTTAAAATGCCCAGGGCTTCCGTGGTACACATGACGTCGACGGCAACGAGGCCGCATCACATGTCACAAGTATATATCATTAATAAATACTGTCATTAGTTCGTTAAGTTTAGTAATAAACGATTAGTTAATAATCAGCTAATAATAGAGGATCGTTACATTGATTAAATGAGATGGCTATTGTATAATATGTATCTTATATTTTAGAAATTTATTAGTGACAAGACGTACAAAAATGGAAAACACAGAAAGAATAGTTTTACTGAAGTATCTAAAAAAATTAGACTTTGAAA